TTTTTTTTTTCCTTTTTTTTTTTAACGTATAATGTATTATTTGTTTCAGAGGTACAGGTCTGTGATTCAACAGTTTTACACAATTCACAGCGCTCACCATAGCACTGAGGTCCTGTTTTGTCCAGGCCTCATCACCCCCGCCTTTAAGTACAAGTACTAAACACAATTATTTGCTGGCCAACTGTTACTATTTGTAGAAGCTCAGACTAATTATTGATCCCCCCCGCTCATTTACCCAGTAGTTTAGAGTATATTTCAAGTGGCAAATGACAGAAAAACAGTTCCTTTTGAGGGTTTAAATGAAACTAAATCTTTGATCCCGTTTTCGTATTCCTTCATCCTAATGCTTCTGTCTTTGGAACAGAGCACTGTCCATGTCCCTCGAAAAACTTTAATTACAACATTTTAAAAAATATGAAACAAGGAATACTCTAATAAGATAACTTTTAAAATTTACCATCATTTATATAGTTTTCATAATTGTTTTTATTGGCTGCATAATATTCAAATGTATTAACGCAAAAAAATCTGGACACGTTATTCTCTTGTTTTTCTAACTTTTCTTAAGCTTTTCTAATTTTTCTAAGGCTAATTGCCTTTTGTGACAATTCAGGTTTGTTTTTAGCCCTACTACCAACTCAAGAAAAATGACAATATTTCAGTAGCATTGTTTTTTTTACTCACCTTTTAAAATAGAATGTGGGTGAGGAATTTGGCATTGTAGCCTCTAAGATTTCTAACACTGATATAATAAGTTGAAGCAAGAAAGTGCCTTTCTGATTTTTTTTACATTATATAATACTATAACTTTCACACAGACATTCACATGCAATATTAAATATTTAATGCTTTTAACAAATGAGGAAGTAAGACCCAAAGAATCATTTGTGCGGACTGTTCTCTGACCATATATTTATGTGGCTACTTCATCATTCTTTTGGTATCAGTAAAAATGTCACTTTAGGGAGGTCTGTCCTGACTCCCTACCCCTATCACAGTAGCACCCATTGCAGCCACCTTCAATCCCATTTTCCTGTTTTATTTTCTTCTTAGCCTCCATCACTATTATTTGTGTCTGTTAGATGTAAACTTCATGAGGTGCAGATTATTCTTCTCTGCTGTATCCTCCAGCATCTAAATCAGCTGCTGATAGTAATATTAAGTAAATATTAAGCCTAGTAAATAGAGATATAATTATGTTAGAAACCCCTCTTCCTCATTTTTCCTGTTTTGTATGAACTGAAAGGTTTTAAATGAAGTCTTTGGGGCACCTGGCTGGCTCAGTCGGTAGAGCATGCATCTCTTGATCTCGGGGTCATGAGTTTGAGCCCCAAGTTAGGCATGGAGCCTATTTAAGAAATAAAATTAATTAAATAAATATTTCAGACTTCATTTTATTTTTCTTGAAATAATCAGCTGTTGGTTCCATTCCCCTCATAATTTCTCTGAATCTTTATCACTGTCCTCAAAGCCCCCTTTTCCATCCTCATCACTTAAACTCTTAGCAGATAACCTTGCCTCCTCTGTAGCAATAAAAGTGAAGACAAAAATCTCCTTCCACATCTCCTTCCACATCCTAGGTCTTAATCTAAGGAGTTATGTGTGTCTAAAACTGCTCCCAGCCGCCTTCCTCCCATGTCAGAAAAAAAAGTGCCCTTATCCCTTCTTAAGGTCATCCAGTCTACCTGTGCCTTTGATCTTAGTGCAACTTATTATAGAGTGCTTAAAAGCACAAGCTTTGGAATCAGCCATACAGACTTCAGATTTGATCCTGATTTTGACAATTACTATAAATGAATCAACTTCTCTAAACCTTAGCTTTCTCTGCAGTGAGGATAATCACACATACTTTAGGTTTTTATGATTTAATGAGATTACAGTTCTAAGTACTTAGAGTTCCTGGAATATAGTAAATGGTCAATAAAGGTTAGTTGCTGCTAATCATAGTCAATTATGAACATTGTCAATTCGGTTTCCCTGTAAGCATCTGTGCCACAAGTATTTTTGCCACATAACTAATTGGCCATAAAGGCAACTTTACGTAAAAGATAAACTCACCAAAAATAAAATGGGACATTCATTTAAAAGGACATAATGAAATGTGAAAAATGAATAACAAAATTAAAAAGACTTTATTGTGAAATACAAAACATTTGAATACATTCAAAATATGTAGTGTAGATTCATGGCAATACTATGCAAATAAAATTATTTCATTTTGTGGATTGTACCTAAGCACTTGTCTTCAGTCTTTCATTCATAGCATTATACATTTTTTGTTTGTTTGCTTGTTGAATTGCTCCTCATTTGGTATCACATTTTTTTCTTTTTTCCCTAAAATTTCTTCCTTCATTAAGAGAAGTATCATTTCCCAAATACTGGGATGTATATTTGTAACTGATATTTGCATTGCACTGTGAAAGCCTTCTACAGTGTTGTTTGTTCTTCGTGCATTGTCACATGCCCGTTGATCGATGGATCAAAGTTCTGTGGTCAATGTGGGTACAAAATTGTGCCACTGTATAGACCATTATGAGGGCTAAGATTTATGTAATATAAAAATGGAGGTACTGTATGGATGGAGAAATGAAACCAAACTGTCAACTAGTTATTTTTTTCTTTTACAGCAAAATTGCCTTATGGCAAATTAGTTATACGGCAAAAATACCAGACGCAACAGCTCCTCTTCTAGTGTCCTGTCGGTTCCTTCTCACATGTGTTCACCACCCCCTTACTCTACTACTTTCTTCCCCTTGGCCTATAAACTTTCCCTTTTCCCCACATCCTTCTCTAGGCTACTCTCTAATGTTTTCTCTTTTTCATTCTTTTTTAAACAATTTTTTTTGTTTTGTTTTTTAATTGAAGTATAGTTGATACACTAAGTTACATTAGTTTGAGGTATACAAAATAGTACATGGTAATCTGCCAATCTTGAGAGTTACCCTGTGCTCACCACTAGTGTAACTACCATCTGTCACCATACAGTGCTATTACAATACCACTGGCTATATTCCCTAGGTTGTATCTTTATCCCCGTGACGTTCATTCCATAACTGGAAGCCTGTATCTCCCACTTCCCTTCACCCATTCTCTCCATCCCCCCACTCCCTCCTCTCTGGCAACCATCAGTTCTCTGCATTTATGGGTCTGTTTCTGGTGTTTGTTTATTTGTTTTGTTTTTTAGATTCCACATATAAGTGAAATCATGTTATTTGTCTTTCTCGTCTGATTTAATTTCACTTAGCATAATACCCCCAGGTCCATCCATGTTGTCTCAAATGTCAAGATCTCATCCTTTTTATGGCCATATAATATTCCATAGTGTGCGCGTGCATGTTTGTGTGTGTGTACACACACGTACCGTATCTTCCTCATCCATTCATCTATCTATGGATCCTTGGGTTGCTTCTATATCTTGGCTTTTGCAAACATGCTGCAATAAACATAAGGGTGCATATATCTTTGCGAATTAGTGTTTTTGTTTTTAATTTTTTGAGGAACCTCCATACTGTTTTCCACAGTGGCTACACCAGTTTGCATTCCCACCAACCTTGCCTAAGGGTTCCTTTTCCTCCACATCTTTGCCATCACTTGTTATTTCTTGTCTTTTTAATCATAGCCATTCTTACAGGTATAAGGTGATATCTCATTGTGATTTTAATTTGCATTTCCCTGGTGATTAGTGATGTTGAGCATCTTCTCATGAGTCTGTTGGCCATCTGGATGTCTTCTTTGGAAAAATGTTCATTCAGGTCTTCTGCCCATTTTCAACTGGAATATTTGTCTTTTGGTTGTTGAGTTGTATAAATTCCTTATATATTTTGGATATTAGCCCCTTATTGGATATATCATTTGCAAATATCTGCTCCCATTCAGTAAGTTGTCTTTTTGTTTTGTTGAGGGTTTCCTTTGCTGTGCAAAAGATTTTTTTGGTATGGTCCCAATAGTTTTTGTTGTTTGTTTGTTTTTTTAGATTTTATTTATTTATTTTTAGAGACCGAGTGAGTGAGAGTGAGGGGAGGGGCAGAGGAAGAGAGAAAGAATCTCAAGCTGACTCCATGCTGAGCACAGAGCCCAACACAGGGCTTGATCTCATGACCCTGAGATCATGACCTAAGCGGAAACCGAGATTCAGATGCTCAACCAACTGACCCACCCAGGCATCCCCTGAATAGTTTATTTTTGCTATTGTTTCCCTTGCCTGAAGAGACCCATCTAAATAAATGTTGCTAAGGCCAATGTCAAAGAGATTACTGCCTGTGTTTTCTTCTAGTTTTATAGTCTCAGGTCTCCAGTTTAGGTCTTTAATCCATTTTGAGTTTATTTTTGTGCAGGGTATAAGAAAATGGTCCAGTTTCATTCTTTGGCATGTGGCTGCCCAGTTTTCCCAGCACCATTATTGAAGAGACTGGCTTTTCCCCACTGTCTTTTGCCTACCTGCTGCTCTTTCACCCTTGAAGGGAGTAGTTCTTTAATATTTTAGGGGTGGTGGAAACCTTTGAGTGTGTGATAAATACCTTAGAACCTCTCTCTAGAAAAATACATATAACCCCCAAATTTGCACCTGATAGAAGATTGTAACCCCAAATTAAAATCTCCTTCAGCTAAGGTACTGTATTCTCCAGAAAATCCATCCTAACTCTCTACATACCTGTCTGATCTCCCTTTTCCCATATTTTTTTATATTATGTATATATTTCTATCATTGCATGTCCCATGTGACAGTATAATTATTTAGTGTTTTCACCACTATACCTCAAGTTCCTTGAGGGTGATAACTGTCTTACTCATCTTTGTAACCCCAGCACTTAGCACAGCACATATAAGTTATCAACAAAAATTGAGGTTGAGTGTTCCTTAAAAACAAACCTTCTTTCACTGTGGACCATTTACCTATTCAGCAAACATTAATGGAACGCCTGCCATGTGCCAGGCATTGTGCAGGGTGCTGAGAATACAGATTAACATTCAAACATCCTTGTCCTCACAGAGCTTACAATCTAATATCTATGAAAATGTGTTTAAATTAGACATTACAAAACTGTGTGGCAAGTGCTTTGGAAATACAGGATAGAATAGGATTATATGCAAAGAGCAACATATCTTTGAGAGGTCAGAGAAGGCCTTTCAGAGGTAGTGATGATTAAGACCTGTAGGGATTAAGGGAGAAGTTCCTGTCAGAGGACAATGTCTGTAGAGGTCTTGGTATGAAAGAAAGAATACTGTGCCTAAAGAACCATAGACAGTTCCATGTGGCTGAAAATATGAGTTTGGTGGGCAGGAAGGACACAACAAGAGGCTGAAGGAGTCTTCTAAACCATGCTCAAGAGTTTATGCTTCCTCCTAAAGTTCCTGGGAAGGCATAAAAGAATTTTATTCTTAAAGTTCCTAACAGAAGAAAGGAGGAGTTATGGGGCATCTAATTGGCTAACTTGGTAGAGCATCTGACTCTTGATCTCCAGGTGGTGAGTTGGGAGACCCACACAGGGTGTAGAGATTACTTTAAAGAAAAAACAGAACTGTTTAAAACAAAAAAGAAGAAAAGAGGAGTTGTGTCAGAGTGTGTGCATGTGTGTATATAGAGAAGGTTCTGCTCACCAGTAAAAAACAAACAACCAGCTTTTAGAACACTGAACAGTGCTGTCATGTGGCTACCGTCTGATGCTGGCTTGAACCAAAACTGACAAAGTGGGATCCTGCAGTCTCTTGGCTTTACACTGAGATGGAAACCACTTTATATAAATTAGCCAGGATTGTGGAGAAGCTAAGAAAGCTCCATGAAAGAAAATACATTAAAAAAAAAAAACCAACAGTTTTTCTACCACTTTCCTTTTTTTTTTTTTTTAATTTTAACTCCTTTCCCATAAAGTTTTGTTTTTTTAAATACTTGCAAACAGGGATCTAATATAAGAAGCAAGTTTCACTGGCTCCTTTTTTGTTTGCTAGCTTCTCTAGCTAAAATGATAGTCATGAGATTGCAGGAAAAAATATATACTTTCATTTTTGCCTAACATAAACAATGTTCTAAAACATGGATAATTTCAAAAATTGAAGAGCATTTTAACATCTTTTCCCAGTGTTATGGACTTTAATAAGTAGATCTTGTCTTTAATCTCTGAAATAAGTTAATTGTCTGGTTAGCAGACCTTTTATCTTAAAATAGTCTGTACTGGGCATTTCTCAAAAGATTATATATATTGACATTTGATCGTTTTCCTCCAGATACTTTTCTTTGGATTTGGGTGGCTTTTCTTCATGCGCCAACTGTTTAAGGACTATGAGGTAAGAAGAGACCATTTTGGTTATACTGCTACATATGTATCTAGATTGTTTTAAAATGGGCAAGAAGCAGGTGGCTCAGTCCATTGAACATCCGACTCTTGGTTTAAGCTCAAGTCATGATCTCAGGGTCAGGAAATCAAGTCCCCTGTTGGGCTTCGCACTCAGCATGGAGTCTGCTTGAGATTCTGTTTCTCCCTCTCCCTCTGCCCTTCTCCCCTCTGTGCAAGCGTGCTCTCTCTCTCTCTCTCTCTCTAAAATATATAGATCTTTTTTTTTTTTAAGATTTTATTTGTTTATTTGACAGAGAGACAGCGAGAGAGGGAACACAAGCAGGGGGAGTGGGAGAGGGAGAAGCAGGCTTCCCGCTGAGCAGGGAGCCCAATGCGGGGCTCTATCCCAGGACCCTGGGATCATGACCCAAGCCAAAGGCAGATGCTTAACGACTGAGCCACCGAGGCGCCCCTAAAATAAATAGCTCTTTAAAAATAAAATAAAATGGACAAGAAAAATGCCTCTGTTCAAGAAAGGTCATGTTCACTTCCAAGATAGGAAGTTTTAGCCAAATGAGTACTATATAATTATTAAATTGGAGAATATGACTAGGTTTAGTTGATTTAAAAAAAAAAATAAAAGTCCTGTGTAGCCCAGGAGCAAAACTGACATGCCTTAATAATATCAGTATATAGAACAACAGCAGACAGTTGTTTTTTGGAAGAGAATCTAATTTACAGTGTCTCATAAATGTTCCCATTCATTTGGGTATCTGACCTTCAGTGTTAATGACCTAAGTCATCCTAAGTTAATACCAAAATCTTAAGATTGGTCTGGTTCTTAAGCCATGAGTTCATAGAAACACCAGCCAAGACTGGACATTTCCTAATTAATCCTCATTTAGTGATAAGCTCAATGGTTGTGGAATTCTAAGTGCTACTTCTCACCCTGTCACTTCATCTTGTGCTTTAAATTCTCCATCCACAAGAGGATGATGGTATTAGTGCCCCATGATTTAGAAATACTACCTACTTCCATCTATTTTTAAGCTCCAGGCAAGTTGCTATTATAGCCCTGTTTCCAATGACTTAAGAATTTTTTTATTAAGTTTTCTGACTTGTGACCAGATTATTCATCCAATATTTCACTCAAGGAAGTGACTTGTATTCTCTATTTGACTTTTAATAGGTACGTCAGTATGTGGTACAGGTGATCTTCTCTGTGACTTTTGCATTCTCTTGCACCATGTTTGAGCTCATCATCTTTGAAATCTTAAAAGTATTGAACAGCAGGTGAGTACTAATTAGCTCTTCTCATGAAGAGAATTGTGTGATCAGGTAGAAGACCTACCTGAATTCCATAGCTGAAAAAATCCACCGTGTGGTTAGTTTAGTCTCAGTAACTAAAAATCATAGCAAATATGGGTCCCAATCACCTAGTAACTGGTTTGACACAGATGGTGAAATAAGAAAAAAAAAGAAGTGACCATTAGCTCTGAAGACCTAATTGGGAATGAGGCTGTGAGAGCCTAGGTCCCAGGCTTCACTCCTAGAAGTTTTATTCTTCTCGGGCTACTCTACTCTGAATCCTGCTAATGGCCCTTCACATGTGCTAATGAAAAAAAATCTCTACCTGAAAAGATCAGAATTCCTCAGAGTTAGTTATGTATGGGCTTCTCTGAAGTCTGAACTCCAGCTCTCACTAATTTAGGTTACCTTTGTTGATTTCACAGGTACGGTCAATTCTGATTGAACTTAGTCTTGTTTAAAGCATTTTTTAAAAGCAACTCCTATTCCCCTCCATATAACAGACCTGTTGTTTACTAGACAGCCTGTCCAAAATATTTCTTGCTTGTTAAACTGCAAGCTTGAGTTCTTTTAGACCATTGTTTGTGTTTAGAGTACATCAGCTATTCTATGTTGACTTTTGTAGTTTTTTATCACTGCATGGAAAAATCTTTTAGTAAAGTGGCATTTGACTCTGTAATCAGGAATCAGTGCTGAGCTAAGCTATATAACTTGTTTCAGACTCCTGATACTTGAGACTTGCAGAGAGACATTATTCTCAGATTCCTTTGAGAATCGGAGTTGATAATGTCTCTTGATAAATTAATAATTTGTAGTGTGATAAAACAAAGTATGTCCTGACTCTTATTTTACCTAGTTCTTTAATAATCCAAACCTTTTCTGGATGAGCAGGATACATAGCCTATGACTATCAAGAATAAACAAGTGTTCTTTTACTTGCTAATTACAAATAATAAATCACAACCCGGAACTTTCACTGCTCTCTAACCAGAGGTCAGCAAGTCGTTCTGTAAAGGGCCAGATAATAGACATTTTAGCCTTTGTAGTTTATACGGTTTCCAGCACAACTACTCAGCTGTGCTGTTATAGAGTGAAAGCAGCCATAGGCGATGTATAAACAAATGGGTGTGGCAGTGTTCCAATAAAATGTCACTTATAAAAGAAGCTTCAAGCTAAATTTATGATACACTGATACCAAGTTTCTAGAACTCTGTGGTGTGCATTTTCATAATAGTCATCAGGCCTGGCCTACTTTTATACCTATCTTTTCCCATGTTTTTCCTTTCTTTTCCTACTTTCTTTTCCTACAGTTTATTTCATCATCCTATATTTTATATATCCTCATAAGCCACTTAACTACTTAACTTTTTGAAACAAGGCCCAAGTATAAGTTTAAAATCAGCAAATACAAAAGACACTATCAAGAAAGTGAACGGGTTCCCCAAGGATGGTAAAAAATTTTTGTAAATTACTTACCTGATAAGAGACGTTGATATATATAAAGAACTCTTAATAGTTCAGTAATAAAAAGACAACACATTGAAAACTGGATAAAGTATCTGACTAGGTATTCCTCCAAATAAGATACAGATGGCCAATAAGCACATGAAAAGATGCTTAGCATCATCAGCCATTTGCAGGGAAATGGCAATCAAAACAATGATGATATACCACTTGACACCCATCAGGATGGCTATAATCAAAAAGACAGTAACAAGTATGGGCAAGGCTGTGGAGAATTTGGAACCCTCCTATACTACTGGGGAGAATGTAAAATGGTGCAGCCACTTGGGAAATAGTGACGGTCCTCAAAAAATTAAATAGTTATCACATGACCCAGCAATTCCACTCCTGGGTACATACCTAAAGAGAAATGAAACATGTCCACACAGAAGCTTTACCCAAATGTTCATAGCACCACTGTTTATAATAGCTTAAAAGTGAAACAGTCCAAATGTCCAGCAACTAATGAATGGATAAACAAAATGTGACATATCCATACAATTGACTGAATATTATTTAGCCATAAATAAGAATGAAGTACCTTGAAAACATTATGCTAAGTGAAAGAAACCAGATGTAAGGTGACATGTAACATCCAGAATAGGCAAATCCATAGAGACAGAAAGTAGATTGGTGGTTTCCTAGGGCTGGGGCAGTTAGGAGAGAAGGAGAGCTAATGGGAACAGTTTCACTATGGAGTGATGAAATGTTTAAAACATATTGTGGTGATGGTTGCACAACTTTATGAATATACTAAAACCATTGAATTGTACACCTTAAATGGGTGAGTTATATCTCAACAAAATTGTTGTTTAAAAAAGTCCACGGGACGCCTGGGTGGCTCAGTTGGTTAAGCAACTGCCTTTGGCTCAGGTCATGATCCTGGAGTCCCGGGATCGAGTCCTGCATCGGGCTCCCTGCTCAGCGGGGAGTCTGCTTCTCCCTCTGACCCTCTTCCCTCTCGTGCTCTCTATCTCTCATTCTCTCTCTCTCAAATAAATAAATAAAATCTGAAAAAAAAAAAAAAAGTCCACGGTCGGGGATTGGGCAAAATGGGTGAAGGGTAGTGGGAGATACAGGCTTCTAGTTATGGAATGCATAAGTCATGGGAATAAAAGGCAAAGCATCAAAAAAAAAGTCCTAAAAATATTTTAATCAATTCATAAAATATAGTTTATAAGCAGTAATAAAAGTAGTCATGCAGATCAAATGTTTATATTGAAGATGCAAAAGAAATATTTAAGTCTTTATAGCATGTTGCTATTTTTAGCAATTACTATTAACATTTATTTTCTTTTAATTACGGGACTCCCAGTGGTACATGAAACAACAGTCATTTTCTACCAGTAATAGTATATGTTGCTCTGTTACTATACACTGCCTATGAATATAACTAGAGCATTAGCATTCTCATTTGAATAAGTAAAATTCTTAGGAAGTTAGGATGTTCATATATACTTTTCAGAACTCTATAATATATTCTTTAATCTCTATAAAGAAGCAGACAGTAACAGCCTACTTGACTTATTGGGTGGGATACATTCGGTATTGAGTTCAAAGAGTAGGAGATCTTTTAGAAGACTAAAGAGAATGAAAGTTGCTGCCTTTATCCCCTCCTAGTGATATTCTTTGATATTTATTTCAGTTCCCGTTATTTTCACTGGAAAATGAACCTGTGTGTAATCCTTCTGATCCTGGTTTTCATGGTGCCTTTTTACATTGGCTATTTTATTGTAAGCAACATCCGACTATGTGAGTATTTGTAAACGTGAGTATTTTACCCTCTCGTGTCAGCACATAGATTGAGATGAGGATTTGTGGGGATTGAGGCTGTGGAGAGCTTCATTTCTGCGTTACTTTCAGTACCGACTGTTGTTTGGGGATGCCTCACACACAGCATCTTAAAAAGTTTGGCAGAAAATCAATGTTGAATGATTAGGTAATTTGTGCTGCTACAGCTGTATTTCTGGGTTTCTGCTATAATATCTCCCTTAACTTAACCCACATCTTAATTTCAGTCAAATTCCTCTTACAGTGATTAGGATGCTTTCTCTAAAAACTGTATTATTCCATCACTCATTTGCCAAGTGAACAAGCCAGCCAAATATTAGTCAGTGTGATTCCGTATCTGTAAGTAGAGCAAGCTCTTTAATATAGAACTATTTAACCTTATAGTCTTTCTCCTCCTTCCTAGTGCATAAACAGCGTCTGCTCTTCTCCTGTCTCCTGTGGTTGACCTTCATGTACTTCTTCTGGAAACTAGGAGATCCATTTCCCATTCTCAGCCCAAAACATGGTGAGTGTGTATGTGGTGGGGAGGGGGAAATAATTGTTTATCATTTTCTAATTTTGAAAAACAACTATTTTAAAACTTCTGATTGTGGGAAATATAGCAAGTTATTTCTCTAAAAACAGTCTGGTTTTAAATTGAATTTCCCTTCATCCTAGGAAATATCAAATACTGGCTTTGAAAACTACTTCTATGATTTTAGAGCAGGAGTTTTTGACCTTAGGTTAGTGAATGAACTTCAAGAGAGTAAGGGATGGGGAAAGTTGTCTTTAAATTTAAAATTCCTGATATTTTATATAGAATTGTGGGAAGATATTTGTATGTGTGTTTGGAGCTAAAACTGTCCACAAGCTTTCATTAGATTTCCAAAGGGGTCAAATGACCGAAAAGATAAAAAACCACTGCTCAAGTAATGATAAATATTCTCTTTAGGGACTATACATATTTTAGGAAAGAGCAGTGACATAAAACATTCAAAATTAGTAGATAAAGAAAAGCTTTCTAGGAATCAGTGTCTCTCCTTACACAAAAAAAGTTCATTTTAAATACAAGAGCGGGGCACCTGGCCAGCTCAGTTGGTAGAGCATGCAACTCTTGATCTTGGGGTCATGAGTTCGAGCCCCATGTTGGGTGTAGAGATTACATAAATAAATAAAAACTTAAAAAACATCTTTAAATACAAGAGCAGATCATAGAGCCCTAATTTCTGTGCTAAAAACCATGAACAATAATCTGTCAGCTATAAGTCCTTCCAGAACTACTTCAGAAATATATATATGAACATATATATGCCACCTGTAATGAATATATTGGCACTTTGATACTGGAGGTTTTCAAAAAAAATACACATCCATTCATTTCACTCTCCTGCTATATCAGGATTCTTATAGCAGAAAACAGAATCTGCTCTAACTAATATAAAGCAGAAAGTGATTTATTCCAGGGCATTAGGGAGTTTATAGAATTTTTAGGAAAGCAGGCTGTTAACCTTAAATGAATGCCGTGTAGTGAAGAGTAACATTCAATCATAACACAGTAGTCAACTGGAGAAAACCCCACTGAAGTTGTCACTGCCACGGGGGACCTGTGACATCAGGGATCAGATAGTAGGACTGCTTCAGTGGCCACAGTCCCAAGTGCTGTCCACACTCCCATGTTATTCACTTCTGCATTTGAGGTCTCACATGGGCATGTGAATTTGATACAACCTAGGTACATTCAGAACCTTAGTTTCAAGGAAATCTGGGAAAGAATATTTGGCTTTCCAGATTCTGTAATACAAGAAGACATGCTAGAAAGGCATTGGAATGAATGTTGAGTAAACCAGTGTCTAGAATCTACCATGAATCCATCTGTGTCTATTCCTTGCCTGTAGCAGGGATCTGGAGGAAAGAGGTTCTGAGATTATGCTGCAGGAGGATCAGAGAAAATGCACAATTTTAAAAAGCATATGCAGGGTCACCTGGGTGGCTGAGTCGGTTAAGTGTCTGCTTTCAGCTCAGGTCATGATGTCACGGTCCCGGGATTGAGCCCTGCATCGGGCTCCCTGCTCAGCGGGGAGTCTGCTTCTCCCACTGCCCCTCACTCCCTCCCCTGCTTGTTCACGTGTGCACTCTCTCTCTCTCATATAAATAAATAAAATCTTTTAAAAAATAAATAAATCACATATGCAATAGCCTAACTATTTTTAAATTAGAAATAGCTACTTTGAAATTTCAGATAACATTTAAGAAGGTCAAAAAAGTTAAACACTAGGTTCCCAAAAACATTCAAACTCAGCATGGTGTACAAGACCTTCCATGGCCTGACTACTGCTGTCTTTCTCTGTGTCTCTCCTCCAGTACTACTGAATTATTTAAAGTTTTAGAGCTATTGTCAGTCAGGACATTCCTTCACCTCTTGTTTATCTAGAAAATGCCTGTTCTTGAGATATTCAGTTCTTGCCAATTCCAGATTTTTCTGGCCATCATTAGAAGATATTAATTGCTCCCACCTCAGTGGACTTATGTCACCTGTAATGATTATAATTACTTGCTACCTTTTCTGACTTCCTCATTAACTCACGAGCTCCCTGAGGACCCTGGGGTCAAAAACTACATCTTACTTGTCTTTCTCTCCCCAGTGTCTGTAGCGTGGAACCTGGCACATAAATGTTTAATGCATGTTTATTGAATCAGTGAATAAAAAAAAAATTTCAGTCTCTCAAAGGTAGTAGATGAGTTTAAAAATGTAACACTCTGAATAGGAATTTAGGATTTGCTAATATGATTAGCATGCACATGTCTGTATAGGGAAAGATATGGAGTACAGAGGCCCTGACAATATAGCTCTCATGTAAACTATTTCAAATAAGCCCAAGAGAGACAAATCTGTGGTATCAGAAATGAGGGACAAGAATTATAGAAGGACCCCAAGGCTGCTTACAATGCTAGCACAAGCTCACATGCAGCCCAAAGACAAGACTGGTGTCTGTCTCCCGCTTGCTCCTTGTGAGCAGTCAGTTCACAGGACCAGTGTAGCCAGACCGTGCCTGAGGGAAGATGAAGACCATCACATCTTTTGTATGTTCGTCCTTTTTTCAAAATTCTGTAGAGATATCCTAAAGAAGACACTAGGGGGAAGAGCTAGGAAATAGTTTCAGTTTTAGTCTTTCCTTTGTGCTCCAGGAAATAAGCATTTTGGTTTTATGTCCAGTATCTAATTCATTTGACTAAGAGAAGTAAGTAGGAAGAAAAGTTTAGGCAACGGATGAGAAGCAGCCAGGCTTACCCTACCATCTGAGAGCTTTTCTAGGACTGTCCCAACGACCAGTATGATTTATTACTGTGGAGACCACAAAAAGACCGTAAGACCCAATCCTTACCTATAACAAAAAGATGTCTGTGAAAGTACTCCTTGTGCAGTGCCTGAACCGAAGAAGGTTGGAAGGCATTCCCTAGTGGGAAAGAGTAAGGGAGGCTAAGAAAGTACATGAAGCACACAAAAAAATAATAAAAATACAAAGTGTACGAAGCTAGAAGGAATTTGTGTGAGCAAATGGCAACAGTGAGATGGTCTCCGGCATGCCACTTCATCCATCTGACTTTCCACTTATTAGCTAGAAAACAAGGAACAATTGACCTTAACTTCATGGAAATGCTAGGATTACGTAGATAGTATCTTCAAAGTACTGTAGACTGGGAAAAGGTATCTACTGAAGGGACACCACCTTAAAGGGAATAAAAGTACAGAGGGGACATTTTTCTAGTTTTTTATATTTAATAACCTATATTAATCCCTTTGATTTTTTTTTTTTTTGTTACTGGATAGTTGTATACCTACAGTCAATAAACATTTGCTGAACACCTTCCATGTGCCAGGCAGTAAAAAAAACAAAGAGCAATAAGACATGATTCCTTCCTATAAAGAGGATATAAAGAGGTATGTGGGAAGTAGAATCAACAGAATTTGGATGAGGATTTAGTCATTCATATAACATTCCACAAATATTTTTTGAACACCTAGTTTTATTTTAAGTGCTGGAGATACAACCATGAACAAAACAAACTTGGTTTCTGCCTTCCTGAAACTTACCCTCTGGCAGGAAGGACTAAACAGTGAAAATATAAACAAATAATTGCCAATTATGATCATTATCAAGGAGCAAACAGGTTACTGTGGTAGACGACAGTGCAGATAAGGATGTCAAATTAGATGCGAGTGGTTAGAGTCAGGCTTTATGAGGAAGTATTTAAGCTGAGATTTAAAGGACAAGACCAAAGGTAGACCCAGCAAGAAGGCAGAAGAGACATCATGTAAAAGCCCTGAGGTAAAAAAGGCTGATATATTCAAGGGAGAGCAAGAGACAGAAGGGAGACTAGTGGTATAGATTTTTCTATTTTGGTGACCAGATAGTTGATGATGTCATTTTCTAGGCTAGGTAATGCAGAAGAAGGAAGATAATTCGAACTTGGGATATGTTGAATTTGAGTTGCATATGCACAGCCAAGTTCAGCAAGCAGTTGCATACACAAATTGGCAACTTAGGAGAGAGGTATGGATTTATTAGTCCTTATGGAAATAACTCCAGCAATCTAAAAAATTAGGTACCATCAGCTAAACACCATTAGGTGAACCTGGGGAAATAGGCCAAGATCACCCCTGGAAAATGTGTATAGAGTAAAATGAAAGGGGATTCTGGGCCATTCTGAGCAGAGAAAGACCAAGAAAAGAACAACTAGAGAAGTAAAAGAAATCATTTTAAATAGCAGTGATTCAGGCACCTAGCTAGCTCAGTCGGTAGAGCATGGGACTCTTAAATAGCAATGCTTCAGTGTCCTAAAAGATCAAATAAAGCATGGATTGGAAAATGTCATTGAATTTTGCAACCAGAAGAAAATTCGTGACCGTATTATAGTAATGGTTTAGAGCAGAGGCTGTGGAGCTACACTTCTTGTGGTTGAATCCTAACTCTGCCACTTACTAGCTATGTGGCCTTGACTAAGTTACTTACCCTCTCAGTGCTTCTGTTTCCTCATCTGTAAAATGAGGTTTTCCATCATACCTGCCTCACAGGGCTGTCGTGAGGAGTAAACGAGTTAATACTGCTTCAAACAGTGCCTGGTACATGGCCGGTGCTTGATGAAAGTTGCTATACTGTTGCCGTTACGATTATTAGTGAAAGCAGTTTTCTTCAGGTAGGAGAATGGGATGAAAGCTGAATTGCAGCCAGTTGAAGAATAAGTAGAGGTGAAGAAGAGGTGATAGTAAGTGTAAGTTCCTTTCAAAAAGTTTGGCTATTAAGGGGGAAATAGAGGATTGGCAACTAGAGGTAAACTCAAGGCTAAGGACAGACTTTCTTAGGAAGGAGACTTGAAACTGAAGGAAAAGAACGAGCAAAGAAGGAAAGATTGAAGGTAAAAGAGAGGACTGGTGATGGAACAAGATTCTGAAGGAAGTAGAAAGGAAATAAGATCAAAGCATAAGTAGAGAAATCTTAGCTTTAGATAACTGTCTTGTTCGAGGGGGAAAGTTGGGAGGATGATTGCAGATGTTAATATAGTAGAAGGGAGTATGTGTCTAATAACTTCTGTAATAAGGGCATTAGCTAAGGAGAACAGGATTGGGAAAATGAATTAGAGATTTTCTGCTGGGTGGGGGTGGTGCGGCACCTGGTGGCTCAGTTGGGTAAGTGTCCAACTCTTGATTTCGACTCAGGTCATGATCTCAGGGTTGTGAGATCAGCGGGGAGTCTGCTTGAGGTTCTGTCTCTCCCTCTCCTTCTGCCCCTCCCCACCCTGCACTCATGTTCTCTCTCTCTCAAATAAAAAAAAATTTTAAAGATTTAATTTATTTATTTGAGAGAAAGATAGAGCACAAGCAGGGGTGGGGGAAGGAGAAGCAGACTCCCTGCTGAGCAGGGAACCCGACATGGGGCTGGATCCAGGACCCCAAGATCACGACCTGAGAGAGAGAGAGTGCACACAAGCAGGGAAAGCTGCAGAGGGCGAGGGAGAAGCAGGCTCCCTGCTGAGCAGGGAACCCAAAGTGGGGCTCGATCCCAGGACCCCGGGTTCATGACCTGAGCTGAAGGCAGATGCTTAACTGACTGAGTCACCCAGGTGCCCCTAAAATAAATAATCTTTTTTTTTTTAAGATTTATCTATGGAGGGGAGTGGGAAGAGATGGCTGACCAAGGGCAAGAAAAGGATTTCCTCAATAGTGTCGTAAGCTCTGTTAAGACTAGAGACCATAAATCTGTAATGGCACCAATATCCCAATGCATTCTAGCTGTTTTAGGAGCTCAGGCATGGGCACAGACAGGGAAGATGGAGTGTTAGACTGAGCCAAGATTGGAAGTTTTCAGGATCAGCGCTAAAGAAGGAGGAGAGTCGGGACAGAGTCCTAATGAGAGAAGTTGAAGCAAGCAAGCTTGGAGTTCAGGCTCAGTGAAGAAGGAAATGGAAGGTAGGAGAAGGCAAAAGACTATAGAGACAGAGGTCACAAAGAGCTCTAAAATGGGGTAGGGGAGGGGCGCCTGGGTGGCTCCGTCGTTAAGCGTCTGCCTTCGGCTCAGGTCATGATCCCAGGGTCCTGGGATCGAGCCCCGCATCGGGCTCCCTGCTCCGCGGGAAGCCTGCGTCTCCCTCTGCCTCTTTCTCTGTCTCTCATGAATAAATAAATAAAATCTTTAAAAAAAAAAGAATCTTTAAAAAAATAAATAAACAAACATAAAACGGTGTAGGAGATACACAGGAACAGGAGGGCCGGAATATTGGCCTTTTGGTTTCAGAGCTAACAAAATTCCTGAACGGCGGCTTTGGTGTTAGGCCAGAGTGGATAATGCCGAAGTGGATTCCATCCTAGAAATGGGAAGGGAAAACAAAACTAGTTTTGTCCTGCGATTCCAGACTTCCTGGCTTATTCTTCAGCATTGTGTTCTCTCATTTATCCCAAATACCAACAGCATTTATTTTAAATACTCATCTTCAACATTCTCAAGTAATCGAAAACAGTTGATAACTAGAATACAACTGATAATCTAAAACTCACATATTTGCCTTTAAAATACTCATTTGTTATAAATTCAGCTCATTTGCTACATGCCTTAGGTGTTTATTGACAAAAATGAATAAGACACAAGCTCATAAGACCTAAAGAGCTTATTATGACCTAAGGGGGAAATGTATATATATAACTGTATATATTGATGTATATGTGGAAAGTGGTACCTTGTATTTATACTTTTCCAGCAGATTTACTTTCCTAATATTTTTTTGCCAAAGCTTTTACTAAGAGTATTTTGCTTTGTTAGAGTTCACAGTACCTTGAATAAATAGTCAAAATTATTATTTGCAAATATTATTTTAATATTTCCGTTGCCCAGCAATAGGGATGATTCTGGAAGCATATGGGATAGGAGGAAATAAATAGACTTTTATACATTTATTATGGAAGATCTACATATTGATAATTTAATTTTAAATTTAATGTTGATAATTAAAATTTGGTTTATTTAAGTCGTATGTAATGGTTGATGTTTTCTGGGATATTTCCTCTTGCAGTGCTATTTTATCTTTATCACCTGACATTAAGGTACTCTGATGTTTTTAGGGATTTTGTCCATAGAACAGCTCATCAGCCGGGTAGGTGTGATTGGTGTGACTCTCATGGCTCTTCTTTCTGGATTTGGTGCTGTCAACTGCCCGTACACTTACATGTCCTACTTCCTCAGGTAAAAAGAACTTTGTCTCTTTTTTTTTCCTATTAACTTCATGAATACGTATGTCCTATCATGCCATCATCAATACTTAAATATTAGATCTGTGACATTGCCTTTTTATTCTTTCCCTCTGTCCTTATGCGCATTGTCCTAGGAATCTCTCCAAATAATGAGTCTTATCACTTATATTGTTTGCCCTTTGTTTGTCCTACATTCACTTATTTTTTAAAATGATTTTTTTGGGGCACCTGAGTGGCTCAGTTCGTTGAGCATCCAGCTCTTGATTTCGGCTCAGGTCATGATCTCAGGGTCATGAGATTGAGATTGAGCCCCACATCGGGCTCTGCGTTCGGCGGGGAATCTGCTTGATTGAGATCATCCTTCTCCCTAAAATAAATAAATCTTTTTAAAAAATAGTTATTTCAGTCAAATTCTCTTTACTTCCTCTTATACTTTTTAAAGGCACATTACTCGTGGATAGCAATGTGAGCTAATCCCCACTTGAGTAAATCAGTTCCTCCTAGAAGTAGAATGGTAGAAGACAATGCCAAGTTGGAAGAGTGCTTACATGTACATCATAAATGTCACTGGATCAAAGCTAAGAAAGACTGAAAGAGAGCCAGTTACCTTCCACTGCCCTGAGGCTGCAAAACTTTTAGCTATAAGAAAATAACAGCAAAAGCATTTTTGCTTTTTATAGTCATTTTAATATTCTCTAGGAAAAGGTCCTTGAATTACTGGGTAACAACTAAGGTTTATGTGTTTCTACAGATGCCTTATATTTATTATGCCCAAGGATGGGATCCCAAAACATTGCTAACAGTTTGTGCTTATTATAGAAATGTGACTGATGCCGATATCCTAGCCCTGGAACGGCGGCTGCTCCAAACCATGGATATGATCATCAGCAAAAAGAAAAGGTAAGATATCAGCACATTAAAAAACTTGTACTCTTAGAATTTCTCAATAAGAAAACGTGACTATGAATTGGGCCTAACAGGGAATTTCATCTTATTCATTTTTATTATAAATTAAGGTACCTTCAAAGACTTAGTGCTTAGTCTTGCGTGAAAGAAATTTTCAAATTCCACTTATTTCCTGACTTTAGATAAATTCTCCTGAGATAAACTGTTAGTGTAACATTTACATTAGAAGGTATTCTGCACTGGTTGCTTTAAAAGTCTGTTGTCCTACATTTTTATAAACTTTTGGCATGCCTGATTTCAATCTTTTCAACTTCCTTTTCTCCAACTACTTTGAAAAATCCTTCAAGTCTTCTAGCTGTTGTCATTTTTATCATTTAAGACGTACTTATACAATGTATGCTTTTAAAGTGGCATTTCTGGGGGCGCCTGGGTGGCTCGGTCATTAAGCGTCTGCCTTCGGCTCAGGTCATGATCCCAGGGTCCTGGGATAGAGCCCCGCATCGGGCTCCCTGCTCTGCGGGAAGCCTGCTTCTCCCTCTCCCACTCCCCCTGCTTGTGATCCCTCTCTCGCTGTGACTCTCTCTGTCAAATGAATAAATAAAATCTTTAAAAAATAAATAAATAAAGTGGCATTTCTAGAAATCTATATCACAGTGGGTTATAGCCTAGGTTGTAAACTCAGATTGTCTGAATTTGAATCCTTGGTCCACAATTCACGGTGTGGCTAGAGGCGTTACTGTATGTCTTGGTTTCCTCATCTGTAAAATGGAAATAATGAGTTGACATGTAGAACTCTTAGAACAGTGAACCATACAGAGCTAAGGAATACTACTGAACTTACTAATAGTCCCTGGAGGACAGTCATTAGGTTTTAGTGCTTTGTCTTCATTTATTCATTCATATATTTTCATTCTCTTAATAATTATAGGAAGCCTCGTTTATGCTAGGTACTGCACTAAATGCTGAACTCATAGAAATAGAATGAGGAACAAGATAAGTTACTGGGGTGCCTGAGTGGCTCAGTTGGTTAAGCGTCTGTCTTTGGTTCAGGTCATGATCCCAGGGTCCTGGGATTGAGCCCTGAGCCTTCAGACTCCCCTGCTTGGCAGGGAGCCTGCTTCTCCCTCTTCCCCGCCCCCCCCCCCGACTTGTGTTCTCTCTTGTGCAGGCTCCCTCTCTCTCTCTATCAAATAAACTCTTTCTTAAAAAAAGATAGTAAGTTACTGTCTTCATGAAGCTCATTAGTCTGCTGTCTTTTTTAAAGTTCTATTACCCAAAATAAACAGTGACAGAGGTCTTAAATTGCATGAATGTTTCTGCATTTCATATTTTATCTTTCAACATTTTTCTATAGTAAGACCCATAGTCACGTCAAAGAAGGCTTAATATATGAGATAACAGTAGACTTTAGAATGATAAAGAGGGCCAGATTTACCAGCTCATTATTTGTCTCCTCTTCTGTACATCTGTACTAGGGTATTGATAGTAGATACATATGTTGTATATATATTTATTCTTTGCATTTTGTTCACATTCATTCTGTACAGTTTATTTTACATGAAAATGTGAATGTAGATTTAAAAAACATAACAGTAAAAGCAACATTATTCAATATCGAAAGATAATTATAAAGGAATAATACTATTTTGGGTCCCATGATTATTCTCCCATTTATTATATTTCTTTCATTCATATGGAGAGATGAATGTAAAGTTATGACCCATGTCAAGTGTGGATGTTTTAAGATTGTATTTGTTTGAGAGAGAGAGCGTGTGTGTGTGCACAAGCAGGGGGGAGGGGCAGAGGAGAGGGAGAAGCAGGCTCCCTGCTGAGCAGAGAGCCCCATGTGGCTCAATCCCAGGACCCTGAGATCATGACCTGAACTGAAGGCACGCTTAACCAACTGAGCCACCCAGGCACCCTCCATACTGTTTTCCACAGTCAACACACCAGTTTACATTCTCACCCATAGTGCATGAGGGTTTCCTTTTCTTCCACATCCTTGCCAACACTTGTTATTCTTGTCTTTTTTTATTGTATTCATTCTGACTGGCATAAGGTGATATCTCATTGTGGTTTTGATTTGCATTTACCTGATTAGTGATGTTGAGCATCTTCTCATGTATCTGTTAGCCGTCTGTATGTCTTCTTTAGAAAAATGTCTATTCAGGTCCACTGCTCACTTTTAATCGGGTTGTCTTTTTGATACTGAGTTGAATAAGTTCTTTATATATTTTGGATATTAACCCCTTACTGGATACATCATTTGCAAATATCTTCTGCCATTCTGTAGGTTGTCTTTTTGTTTTATTGGTTTCCTTCACTGCAAAGGCTTTCTATTTTGATGTTGTCCCAGTAGTTTATTCTTGCTTTTGTTTCCCTCAACAGAGGAGATATATCCAGAAAAATATTTCTAAAGTTAATGTCCAAGAGATTACCACTGATGTTTTCTTCTAGGAGTTTTATGGTTTCAGGTCTCACATTTAGGTCTTAATCCATTTTGAGTTTATTTTTACATATAGTGTGAGAAAGTGGTCCAGCAGCATTCTTTGCATGTAGCTGTCAAGTTTTCCCAGTACCGTTTATTGAAGAGACCGTCTTTTCCCTCTGTATATTCTTTCTTCCTTTGTTATGGATTGAGTATATAAGTGTGAGTTTGTTTCTGTGCTTTTATTCTGTTCCGTTGATCCATGTTGTTTTTGATTACTATAGCTTTGTAGTATATCTTGAACTCCAGGATTGTGATACCTCCAGTTTTGTTCTTCTTTCTCAAGATTGATTTGGATATCTGGGGTCTTTTATGGTTCCCACCAAATTTTAGTATAATTTGTTCTAGTTCCGTGAAAAAGGCTGTTCATATTTTGACAGGGATTGCATTGAATCTGTACATTGCTTTGGGTGGTATGGACATTTTAATAATATAAATTCTTCCAATCAATGAACATGGAATATCTTTCCATTTGTTTGTCTTCTTTAATGTCTTTTATCAGTATTTTATAGGTTTCAAAGTACAGATCTTTTACTGCCTAGGTATTTTATTATTTTTGGTGCAGTTGTAAATGGGACTGTGTTTTCTTTCTGCAAATAGTTTTACTTCTCTCCTATGATTTTGGCTGCCTTTTATTTTTCTTGTCAGATTGTTGCAGCTAAGACTTATAGTACTATGTTGAGTAAAAGTAGTAAGAGTGGGCATCCTTGTTTTCTTCCTGATCTTAGAGGAAAAGCTCTCAGTTTTTCACCATTGAGTATGAGGTTAGCTGTGGGTTTTTCACATAGGTCCTTTTTTATGTTGAGATATGTTCCTTCTGAACCCACTTTGTTGAGCATTCTTATGATCAAATGTTGAATTTTGTCAAATGCTTTTCTATTGGGATGAATATATGGTTTTTATCCTTTGTTTTGTTGATGTGATGTATCATGTTGTTTTTGTTTATACTAAACTGCCCTTGCATCCCTGGAGTAAATCCCATTTGATTGTGGTAAATGATCCTTTTAATAGAGTGTTGAATTGAGTTTGCTAATATTTTGTTGAGTATTTTTGCATCTATGTTCATCAGGGATATTGACCTGTAGTTTTCTTTTTTGTAGTGTCTTTGGTTGATTTTGGTATCAGAGTAATGCTGATTTCAGAGAATGAATTTCTTCCTCTTCTATTTTTTGGACAGTTTGAGGAGAATAGGTATTAACTCTTCTTTGAATGTTTGGTAGAATTCACCTGTGATTCCATCTGGTCTTATACTTTTGCTTATTGGGAGTTTACTGATCACTTTTGTTACTAGTAGTTGGTCTGTTCAGATTTTCTACTTCTTCCTGATTCGGTTTTAGAAGACTGTATGTTTCTAGGAATTTATCCATTTCTTCTAGGTTGTCCAGTTTGTTGGCATATATTTTTTGGTAGTAGTCTCTTCTAATTCTTTGTATTTCTGTGGTGTCAGTTGTTGTTTCTTCTCTTTTATTTCTGGTTTTATTAATTTGGGTCCTGTCTCTCTCTCTTTTTTTTTTTTCCATGATGAATCTGACTAAAGGTTTATCAGTTTTGTTACCTTTTCAAAGAACCAACTCTTGGTTCATTGATCTTTCTGTTTTCTTTTTTTAGAATCTATTTCATTTTTTTCTGCCCGGTCTTTATTATTTCCTTCCTTCTACTAAGCTTGGGCTTTGTTCTTTTTCTAGTTCATTTAGGTATAAGGTTAAAGTGTTTGAGATTTTTCTTATTTCTTGAGATGGGCCTGTATTGCTATAAATTTCCCTCTTAGAACTGCTTTTGTTGCATCCAAAAGATTTTGGATGATTGTTTTTCCACTTTCATTTGTCTCTATTTTTTATTTCCTCTCTGATTTCTTCATTGGCCTATTGGTTGGTTAGGAGCATATTTAGCCTCCATGTGTTTGTGTTTTTTCCAGTTGCTTTCTCATGATGATATCTTGTTTATACCACTGCAGTCAGAAGAGATGCATGATATAATTTCGGTCTTTTTTAAATTTATTGAGACTTGTTTTGTGGCCCACATGTGATCTATCCTGGAGAATGTTCCATGTCCACTTGAAAAGAGTGTGTATTCAGCTCTTTTGGGGTGGAATGTTCTGTATGTATCTATTAAGTCCATCTGGTCTAGTTCAGAGATGCTGTTTCCTTATTGATTTTTTTGGCCCGGATATTCTATTCATTGATATAAGTGGGGTGTTAAAGTTCTCTACTGTTATTGTATTACTGACAATTTTCCCATTTATGTCTGTTAACATTTGTGTTATGTATTTAGATGCTCCAGTGTTGTGTGCAAAGATATTTATAGTTGTTATATCCTCTTGTTGGATTGATTTCTTTATAATTATATAATGCCCTTTGTGTCTCTTGTTAAAGTCTCTGTTATAGAGTCTGCTTTGATAAGTACTGCTACCCTGGCTTCCCCCCAGCCCCCACTTTCATTTGCATGGTTATGTTTTCCAGCCCTTCACTTTCAGTCTGTTTGTGTCTTTGGGTCAGAAGTGAGCCTC